AGGTCTGGCGGATGCCTCGTGCACGACAGTAGGCTCGCAGAAGGCCAGAGGAGAACTCTCCACCTCGGTCAGAGTGCAGACGCAGAACAGGAAAGTCCGAGCCGAAGCTCCTCCTGAGCTGGAGACGAGCTGCGCAGATCCAGTCGATCAACACCTCAGTGACATCACCCTTGCTGCGCAAGGGGAAGACTGTGGTGTAACGCGAGTAGTCGTCAACCACCAGCAGGAAGTAGCGCTCGTGACCCTGCCCACGGACGCGGGCCGGGCCCCACACGTCCATGTGAAGCGTCTGCAGAGGAGCCTCTGTCGGGGGAAACTGGGAGGAGTGAGGGGCAGCCCGGAGTCGCCCCTCGACACAGGGGACACAGGAAGGTCCGGGTCCCGAAGGAAGGGGAGGGAGAGACCGGGGAAGACCAGAGACAAGGACACGGGAAGCCATGCCCCGAAGACGAGGCAAGGAGGGGTGGCCAAGACGGTGGTGCCACAGGAGAGTCTCCTGAGACAGGCGGCGACACGAGCAGGGGGCAGACTCAGGACCAGACCTGGACGCAGCAGCAAACACCTGACCCGACGCAGCTACCTGGCCAGACGCAGGGACAGGAGGAGACTCAGTGGTCAGGGTGTAGAGACTCGACCCCGGCCGACGCGAAAACGTGGCCAGGTGTCGGCCTGTGCGGGCGTCCGAGCAGTGGGTCACCCGCTGACTCGCAGGAGTAAACTGGTGAACCCCCGCATCCTGCAGGTCAGCACCACTCACCAAGTTCGTCGAGAACGAGGGGAGGTACAGACCAGACAAGGTGCCCGAGGGGGCAGCCGGACACGGGAGGACAGTGGAGAAGTGAGAGAGGACAGGACCCCCAGAGGGGTCAGCCAGGGAGACTGCAACCGGCCGGCCAAGCGGCGTGAGTGTGGTGCGGTCTCGAAAGAAGGAGCGAGAAGCCCCTGAGTCAAGCGTGAAGGTGAGGGAGGCCGAAGCCGACGCAGTACCTGAGAGCGCAGCCTCACCAGTACCTGAGAGTGCAGACGCACTGGCACCTAGAGCAGCAGCCGCAGAAGTACCTGGCGCAGCAGTACCAATGCCCGGGTCGGGCGGGAAACACCGGTAACAGTCACCCTCCTCACTAATAGTCACAGCATACATGGCAGCAAGGATAGCATCAAAGTCAAGATCAAAGATAGCTACGCCAGCCCTAGACAGCTCTCCCCAACGGGGAATCTCACTAGCCTCGGGGAACTGCTGACGCCAAGCGTCCGTCAGGCGGCCAAAGCAGCGCTGGGTGGGGTGGGCACCTCCACACTGCTCACCCGCGCGGTCGCCGGAACGAAGGACGTAGGTGCACGGACCAAAACCCCCACCCCGCTGACGCTGCGTGTACCACTCACGGAGCTGCTGGGGCGGGGGGATGTCCCGCGAACGCTGCTGCTGGTGCTGCTGCTGACGCTGGCCACCACCAGAGCCGCTACGCTGCGGGGCACCACCCCGACCAGCTCCACCCCCTCCGCGACCGCCGCCTCCACCTCCACCACCACCGCTGCCTCCGCTCCCACCGCTGCCGCCACCACCGCCTCCTCCTCCGCTGCTGCCACCGCCACCACCGCCCCCGCCACCACTCCCACCGCCACTCCCACTCCCTCCGCCGCCTCCACCGCCACCTCCACCGCCCCCTCCAGTTCCACCCGCGCCCTTGCCCCCCTTGCCCCTGCCAGGGCGGCGTCTCCCGCTAGGGGCAGACGCCGCGCAGACCGACTCAAGACCAAGCAGGTCGGCAGCAGCAGCAGAGGCAACAGAGGGCAGCAGGGGGGAAGGAGAACACCCCTCAAAGATGGGGGTGCGAGGGTCACCACGAGAGGCTCCTACAGCGACGATGCTCTTCTCCGCCGCCAGGAGGGACTTCTCGAGGAGATCGACAGTGAGAGTGGTGGGACAGACTGAGAGGAAGTGGTCCCTGACTACGTGAAGGGAGTCAGGGAGGCGTGTGACTATGTAATAGAGAGTGATGTACATGGGGGGGGGGGTTCTTGGCGCAGAACTCAGCAGGAAGGGCGGCGCGGTAGCGAGTGTCACTAGTGCGGAGGTGCGTAATGAGGTCAGCGACAGTGGGAAAGGCAGCAAGGTCAGGAAAGAGGTACGGTAGCATGAGGCGGCTCAGGGCAGCAGTGGCAGGGGAAGAGTAGCGCGCAACTACAGCGTCGTACAAGGTCTGAGCACTCTTGTACTGACTAAAGTGCGCGCGCTCAGTGGTAGGCAGGTGGCGACGCACAGCAAGACGTGCAGCAGCATCGCGGGTGGCCCACTGAGAGCGAACAGTGGGGTCAGCATCAGCAGCAGGGGCAGGAGAGGCGCCAGAGGTGAGGTCAAAGAGGGAAAGACCGTCCGTCCTGTCGCACTGTAAGAACAGCTGCAGGTCGTCGACCCAGACCTCAAAGTCAATGGCTCGACCCTCAGCGTCAAAAGCGAGGACACTAGGGGTAGCCATGACGACGACAGTGTAGCAGTGCAAGCAGTAGGGGAGGGGCACGCAGTAACAGTGGTGCTGTGCTCACCAGGCAGGGCAGGTCGGGCGGCTCGGCAGTAGGGCGGCCCGGCGGCTGGGCGGCTCGGCGGCTCGGCTGCTGGGCGGCTCGGCTCCCGGGCGGCTCGGCGGCAGGGCGGCTCGGCGGCAGGGCGGCTCGGCGGCTCGGCTCCCGGGCGACTCGGCGGCAGGGCGGCTCGGCAGCAGGGCGGCTCGGCTCCCGGGCGGCTCGGCTGCTGGGCGGCTCGGCGGCAGGGCGGCTCGGCGGTCGTAGGCGGCGGGGCCGGTGAGGATAGGCGGCGGGGCCGGTGAGGATAGGCGGCTGGGCCGCGAAGTGGGGCGGCGGGGCCGCGTAGGTGAGGGCGGCGAGGCCGCGAAGGCAAGGGCGGCGAGGCCGCGTAGGTGAGGGCGGCGGGGCCGCGAAGTGAGGGCGGCGGGGCCGCGTAGGCAAGGGCGGCGAGGCCGCGACGTGAGGGCGGCGAGGCCGCGAAGGCAAGGGCGGCGAGGCCGCGTAGGTGAGGGCGGCTGGGCCGCGAAGTGAGGGCGGCGGGGCCGCGAAGGTGAGGGCGGCGGGGCCGCGTAGGCAAGGGCGGCGAGGCCGCGTAGGTGAGGGCGGCGGGGCCGCGAAGTGAGGGCGGCGGGGCCGCAACGTGAGGGCGGCGGGGCCGCGCAGGTGAGGGCGGCGGGGCCGCGTAGGCAAGGGCGGCGAGGCCGCGACGTGAGGGCGGCGGGGCCGCGACGTGAGGGCGGTGGGGCCGCGTAGGTGAGGGCGGCGCAACGGGCCGCTAGGGGCGACACGGAGGGTCGCTAAAAAAAGGAAAGCGCGCCTCGGGGCGCGCTTCGGTGGGCCCTAGAAACAGTCCCTAGGAGGGGACCTGCTCTGATTCCATGAGAAAAGGAGAAAGCGAATGAATGAACTATGAATGAAGTGAGTACATATAGGAAACCCTAATTGGGTTGTACCCCCTATGGGATACCCCACTATAGCCTACACAACAGCATAAGCTATATATATGTTCTGACATCCACTCCACACTCGGCAGCAACCCACCCATGGTAGTGTCATCGAAAGCCTCCTTGAAATGGTCAGTGGCAGCTTCCAGGATCTCATGTGCCTCTGTGTGACTGACCCCATTCCGCACTAACTCTTTAATTCCGGTCTTTGCCTTCCTGCTTTTCACTAGTGCCGACAGAAAACCAGTTGGTGTTTCCCCCTCCAGCTGCACCTTGAGCCCAGTCCGTAGCTGTAGCAGACTCCTCCGACCATCCCAGTACCTCTGCAACATGGCCTCCCGGTTTGTCAGCGATGCCTGCACCGCGTCATTACCCGGGTCAACCATTGCCTTGTGAAGTAGCTGCTCTACTTGCTCTTCCAGAGTTATCCTAGTACGCTTCACCCGTCGTCGTTCCTCTGTATCATATCTCCGCAGTCGGGCTACCAAGCACTTTGACAACTTGTCAAAATCCCCACTCCCCTCTTCGCAGTGTCTACGAACCACCTCCGCAATCGCCGACGCTACACCCGGCCGCTTCATCAGACGTGCCGGAAACCGCCAGATCCCCGGCCCTGCCTCTCGCGGACCGCTCCATCTCAACTTCAGCTTTACCGCAAACTTGTGGTCAGTGATCCCCTTCGGAATCCGTTTATGTTTTGCGCTCGCCACCAGGTGTAACATGGATTGCGACGCCAGCACCCTGTCAATCCGCGAGCTGACCATCGCCGACTTGCAATAGAAGGTGAACTGCCTCTCATCCGGGTTCAGCTCCCGAAATGTATCCTTCGCATGAAAGTCCGCCAGCATATGCATCATTCGGTTGTTGTCCCCAGTCACCCCCTACCTATTTGACTTGTCCAGTAGTGGATCTTCAATCATGTTGAAGTCTCCTGCCACCACGAGATCTTCCCCCCTTGGCAGGCCCTCCGCAACATCTTTGAAGTCCGTCCCTAGGAAACTGCCTCTCGGTGGTGGCTGCGCCGGGAAGTACACCGCCAACAACCGCATTACCCTCGTCCCCCACCGTATCCGCGCATGAAGCAACCTCCCAGAATGATGCCGATGAATGTCCTCTATCTGCACCCCATCCTTGAAGCTCAGTATTGCCAAACCGCCCGCTCTAGTTGGTGCCGCTACCGCGGCCATGTCACCAGGCCGGAGCTCCGTCCAGAAGTTGTGATCCTCCGCTACCCGTGTGTCTGCCATGACTACGATGTCAGCAGCTGTTCTGATCCACTCTTTCACTGTTCGTTGCTTCCCTGAACTTCCCAGGCCGTTGACGTTCAAGGACATGATGGTTAACTGGTGGTTGTTATCCATTATTTAACACTTGCCGAGGCCCCCACGCATCCACAGGGCAGTAATACAACAGCGCACGGTGACACACTACAATCTTCGATACAACAGCTGATGATACTCCTCCTACATTTGTCCCCCTATCCTCCTTCGCAGAATGCTATCACTTCTCCATCTGCAGGTCCGATGTAACCCATCACACACCAAACTCCTTCTTCGCCGTCACCAAGTTGACACCAGCCTTGGAGCTTCGTGATACCGAGCCGGACACCAGGCCGTCGCTGTGCCGCTGAGACACAACATGTTCCGCTGCCTGGGCAAAAGAAACCCCAGCCGCTTTCTCGCAACACTCCTGAACGCAGATCCACTCCTCTCGATTCCCCCCGGTTGAGATCAACACCACGGCGGGGTCCTTCAATACAAGCCTGGTCAGATCTGTGATCCTGACTGAGGCGGCTGCGCGGAGTCGACACATCCACAGTGTTAGCACCACACCACCAAAACAACGACGAACCAACATGAAACAGGTGCGTCAGAAGACACCCCTACCCATTACCATTGATCCCGTGTACCCGTCCCAGAGACAGGCTCCAGTTGCCGATGTTTTTCTGCCGCTCTGACACGTATTCATCATGGTACCGCGTCATGTGATACCCCGAGCAGTACCCGCAGGAAAGTGACGGGTAATGCACTAACAACTGCTTGTCGTGTGAAGTTGGATCATCAATCACATGGCGCCAGCGGTACTTGTCGCCCTCATGCTGCTTCACCAACCCCTTCACCTTGTCAGTATCCATTCCCGTAACAGGGTTCACCACCCGGTGGAAACAACAACCCTCCTTGAAGGCTGAACGTCCGCGCTTCTCTAGCTTCACTGACACCAGCATGTCACATAGCATCTCCGGCGTTATTACCGCATCCACCCCCTTGAACAGCACCTCAACGAGCAGAGGATCCGCAGCACGCGCCTTCACATAAGCCGGATCCACGGGATGCTGCCAGTCCAGGTTAATGCGTTTCCCGTCAACACAGGTGTGTACTATCCCATGCTTCCAGACGAAGTTAGCATCGCGAGCCCTCTCGAAGGAGACCTGCAGCCGATGATATTGCTTCTTATTCAGGAACAAAGCCGTCAGCTCCTGAAACTTCGTTGTTGCTTGAATTTCCATGTTCAGGTCCTTCTTCCAAAGGTTGAAAAGAGCGCGAAGCGTCGCCTGCACCCAAGTCGCCTCCGACTTGAACACGATCGGGATCAGCAGCACAATGGCAAAACGGATCCGCTGCGCGACTTCACTCTTCGCATGCGCATCATACCGCTCCTCCGGATCATCACTGAGGTACCCATCGTCTTCCTCCTCCTCGTCCTGCTTAGCTGACTTGGTGATAGCATCCTCCTTGCCTGCTTGCAGAGAACCGCTATCTCCTTTGTTGTTAGCCTTGACCTTGGAGTCAACTCCTGCGCGTTGCACATTGTCCCCTGATCCAGTAGCCAGAAGCTCCCGCACCGCATCCTTCGCACCCTGAGCAGCGGGCTGAAGAGCGTCGTTGTCTGCCTCCGTGAACAGGTCCGAAGTGCGCTTAATCGCCGACGATGCCGAAGCATCCGCAGGCAGTCCGGAGTCCTTAAGCTTGTCCACCACCACAGCAGAAGATCCATCAGCCTGACGAGCACCACCGTTCCTGGTAATCATCCTTGACATAGCACACCGAGAGTAAGGCTGACAATGGAAGCCTCCTTGAGTTGTAAACCACAGTCTGAGTGCAGTGCCGTGAGCTCCATGATCCTCTTTAAGGATTTTGAACTTGAACTGACGTGAACAAGGTAGCCTTGATAATAGCCGGCTGCCATAATCACGTGAAATCTTGTCAACCAATGAGATGCTGGAACACGGAAAGCTGAGATAACCTTGTTGCCGAATTAGAATACAAGTGTCATTCCTTGGAAGTGACGCGCTGACAAGCCCTTGAAACTGGCTTGGAACCTTGGAGTTAGTAGCCTGATAGTTTATGGGACCCCTTGTAGCATTGGACACAATGTCCGTCAGATGGACACGAGAAGTGTACCAATAGCTTCGTAACAGAAAGGCGATTCCAAAACTACCATCAATGTTACCAACTGACACGTGTGCTTCACAAGCGAGCCGATTAAAGCTGTCAGGCGGAATCCATGGCGGAGAGGACATTGTCATTGTCATTGCCATCATGTATGGAAGGAAGGAATTTGTGTGCATCGCGTACGAAAAAAAGGGATCAATCTGCCGGAGCAGTGTTGGCTGCCTCCCCAAGCCAAGTGTGACACGACCGGATTTGCAAGTTCGGTGCCCCATGCGAACTGTACACCAAAGCTGCCAGCGCATGAGCCGTACTTCGCTAGCATGTCGCACAACACTCGCTAGGCTTGTGACGACGCGCACAGACGATGATGTTCCACTGTCGTATCTGGGCGCTCCGTTGTCTTGCAATGTATGCGCCGCGTGACAAGTGGATGTCTGGGAAACAATTCATTGTAATTGGACCACCCCGAAAACTCTAGTTTCCATGCAGGCCTACCCATTCGCGACAAACTTGTACCTCTTTTGAGTAAAAACAAGCCACCCTACAAAGCGCGGGTACCCACGAAGGGGCCGAACTGTCCCACATTTCTGGGTGGGGTTATTGCCTACACATGTAGAGTTACTCGTGCCAATTTGTACCAAAGTAGCCAATGTGTTTATCGAGGCGCAGGTTGGTTTCTGATGGGTTCGTTTTCAGGTGGGATTTCGCGTCGCGCTCACAAAGCGCAGGTGTAGCCCACCGACTGTTTGTGATGTCGCCCGGTTACCACATCGAACGTGGCTGACGGTATGCGACGGCGATCGATCGTGGCTGGAACTGGTGGCGCGACATCGATTCCCGCGCTGTCAATCGCACTATCGATGTGCCTGTGTGCGCCATCCGATCTGGGGTTTTATGGGGGTGCACGCTTTTCGCGACATGCTTAACGACAACGGGATACATGTCTTTCACGAAATGGCAAATACACTGTAGATGCTGCACACCGATATTTCACGGGATCGGTGTTGGACATGTGACGCGTCCTCAACAGTCTCTCAAACCTCGGATCAACGGTAGTATTTGAGGAACTGGCGCGCGGGAAAAAATGGGTGTCACAGACCGCACCCATTTTTCCCCTTCAGTTTGGTGACGTCACGTCACGAATGTCCCAGCCCATTCACCCATGGAGAGCCACTGGAACCGTCGATGTGCAAATGGATGGCACCGATACATTTTGGCCTGCTCAGGGTCTGGCTGGGTGCCCCTCTCATTTCTGGCATGCTATGCTACTGTAATGTGGCGCTGAGGGCATATCCCACAAGCTCGTTTTTAGCCCATGAATCACTGTTCAGACTGGTGGATCAAGGTTCAAAGTGGTGGAACCAACAGACCGCTCTATAAAGCACAGAAACGTTCTCCACCGAAATTATTGAACCGAAAACGAATGTGTGGGACAGCATCACGCATGTTCAATTCTTGTATAGTGGCTCAAAACGGTTCCACACGGTCAGAAGCAGCTCGCAAGGTTTACCGTTTTGCACTGTGACGAAACAAAGTTGAGCGTAGGGATTGCTAGAGTTGTGAAAAGTACGCTAGAAATTAGTAGTGAGTGTATGAGATTGAGTTGATACATCACTTATAAATGTCTACCACTGGCAGGCAGATTGGGTGCTTTATGATAGTTTGATCGCCATGACATCGGTGCAGCGTACTGACGATCCCACGACGGGGGAGTGCGAGCGACGGCAGGGGAAGAGAACGAAAAACAATGCTGACCCTGAAGGCAAGGGATATCATTCTTCTCGCTTTTCACTCTCTGAACGCAAAGCACCTAGACTTCTCCTGCTCGTACCATCCTCCTAAGCATTCCTTTTCGAGCTATTCACGCTTGCAATCGCTATGACTCCGTAACTTCCATTCTCATTCAAAGTTTGCTCAGATTGCCATGCCATCGCTGGCATTTCTACTTCGCTTTCACGTTGCGCCGCTTCATGCATCGCTTCCTCTCTCTCTTCTCTCTCTTCTCTGTCGCTCATACCAGAAAGAGCATTTGGATATTGAAGGGCGTGTGATAGATGACTTCGCATCACCACTGCCTTACCGTTAAGTTTGTTCGCACATCGAGCCTCATAACAGAACCATCCTAGAAAAGCTCGTCTTAAAAAAAAAAATATCACCCTGTAACGAACATGCTCTCACTTTTTAAAACACCGTCGCGAAAGAAGTGAATGTGTGCGCTCTTTCGCACCACCAAGTTCCTTCCCGGCGTTGACTTCAGGCACAACTCCTCACCCAACACGTGAATATGGAGGTTACAATTTTGGCGTTTTGAAACAGGGCTACGGCGCTGCCGCGCACACCGCGGCTGGCCTGGCCGGCCTAGCAACTAAGGAGCGGCGCCGTAGAGAAGAAGAGAAAGAAATGTCACGCAACGGAATAAGAGAAGAAGCTAGGCCCGAGAGAGAAGCCTAACTCCAGTAGTGTGAATGAAAGAGTTGAGAGAAGGTTCTGAGATTAGAAGATTTGGATGACGCAATCAAGAAACAGTGAAGATATTTTTGCTAGAAAGTAGGGAGGCAATTCGGATGGGAAATACCGCGTCGCCACGCTTCTAGCATGGCATCTTGGCATAGCGCCTTGATGCCATGCTCTGTTGGACTGTAGAAGCTTCTAGTAGGTTGACAAGGAGACGAGAATATGCTCCGAGGTTGGCACATATCCCTATTCGGAGTTTAACGATGCAGTGGGGAAGTTCAACTGTTCGGGTATTCCCATGCATGCTAGCATCGGGAAACCCAACCTGTAGTGTCAAGAGTAAAGAGAAAGGTGATGGCACTTTCGAGAAAGTTGGGTACAAGTAACAAAACATATAACCTACATTAGCTACCCCACTAAAGCCTACATTTTATTATGACATAGGCATATAAATTTGACACACCCCCATAGGCAAAGTGGGGGAGAGTAAGGGGTCACAAGACCAGTCAAGAGAAGCAAAGCAAGCTCAGGGTGGATCATAATGTCACTACACACACTGAGCACAAGCAAAGGGCCACAAGGCCAGTTCACATGCAGAGGTATATATGCAACAACAAAAGTACAGTGATCTCTACCTAGCAGAGCAAGCATGCAGGTATATATATAGATCACAGTACAAGCAAAGTCTACAGCAAGTGAGGAAAAGTGGGCACAAGGCCTAACAAAGTGCAGAAACGCTGATGCTCACCAGACAGAAGTGCCTTGGTGAATATATCAGCAGTATTGGCCCGAGTGGCCACGTAAGCAAGACGAAGCTGACCACGCTGCTGCAACTCTCGAGCCAGGAAGTAACGCAAAGCGATGTGCTTCATTCTGTGCTCCAGTCTGTGCTCCTAACACAAGGCAATGGCGGCCTTGTTGTCGACATACAGCACTGGAGGAGAACGAGGCTGCTCTCCCAAGTCGGTCAGCAGGTAGGTGATCCAGCGTAACTCCTGTGCAGCCATGGCTGTGGCGTAGATCTCAGCCTCACAACTGGAGCTGAGAACTGAAGACGAGCGTGTAGAACGCCAAGAAACTGAACCAGAGCCAAGGCTGAAGGTGTAACCCTGTGACGACCGCTGCATAACCTGGTCGTCAACCCAAGAAGCGTCTGAGTGCCCGGTGATGACAACGTCACTCCGTCCTCCAAGTACGAGCCCCATGCCCGATGTACTGCACAAGTAGCGTAGTACCCTCTTAGCAGCATCCATGTGCACCATTCGGTGCCGACTAGGAGCCACGTAACGTGCCAGAAGGCCAAGAGGGTACGCAAGGTCAGGACGAGTGCAGGTCATCAGGTACATGAGGCAGCCCACTAGCTCTGGGTAAAGACCACTCGGCTCTACGGACTCGTTCGAAGGTGGAGCTGAGAGCGAGTGACCTGTAGCCAGAGGAGTGGCCTGTGCCGAGGACCAGGTGAAGCCGAAGCGCTGAAGGACCTGCTGCACCATGTGTGACTGAGTCATTGTGATGGTGCGGCGTGCTCTGTCCCGGGTGATCTGCAAGCCAAGGTAAATGCGCAGCTCATCCAGGTCTGTGCACGTGTGTCTCTTCTGCAGCTCCGACTTCACAAGGGCGAGAGCCTCAGTGTCAGCAGTGGCAAAGACCAAGTCGTCGACGTACACGAGGATGTAGAACGGCGGCAGCGAAGTGTCGGTGCGCAGAAACAGCGACGGGTCAGCAGTCGACGGAGCAAACCCAAGAGCCGCAAGTGTCATCCTCAGTGTGTCGTGCCACTCACGTGGCGCCTGGCGGAGACCGTAGACCGGCCGCCGGAGGCTCCACTGGGTACCAGAAGGGAACGACCCAGTGAAGCCAGGCGGGCGGCGCAGCCAGATCTCCTCGTGCAGGGTGCCCTGCAAGAAAGTTGTGCTGAAGTCAAGAGAGTGAAGCTCATAGTCACGCTGAGCGGCAACGTGCAGCAGCACCCAAAGAGTGGTCATCTTCGGGGTGGGGGAGAAGGTCTGGAAGAAGTCAACTCCCTCTCGCTGACTGAAACCTCGAGCAACGTAACGAGCCTTGAAGACAGGCGGAGAACCTGGCGGCCGCTTCCCCCTGAAAATCCACATGTCATCGACGATGTTCTGGTGGCGCTGGAGCTGGAGGTTCTGGAGCTACTGGAGGCGCTGGAGCTGGAGGTGCTGCTGCT